AGAATGCTTGATAAGAAATGTACTCGTTATCGGGCTGGGAAGGTGGCTCAGTGGTAGAGCGCTTGCCTTGCATGCCTGAGGCCCTGGGTTCAATTCCTCAGCACCACATAAGCAAAAAGAAAAAAGCCAGAAGTGGTGCTGTGGCTCAAGTGGTAGAGCGCTAGCCTTGAACTGACGCGCTGAGGGACAGTACCCAGAGTTGGCCCCACGATCAGACCCCCCCCAATAAAAAAGAAACATGGAGGCTCACTAACTTTTTGTCTGGACTGGCTTGGAACCATGACCTTCTATCTCTGCCTACTGAGTAACTGATACTACAGATGTGAGGAACCATTCTCATCCCAAGCAGGGTAATTTCTAGAGTTATTATGTAGATGCTTGTAGGCAAAAATAATAACTAAAATGAAAGAGTATGATTAGAAACTAGATAAATGAGGTGGGGGGAGGAAATAAAGTCAGTACCACCGGGGGAGAAAAAAAGGCAACTTCCGGGGACAGGAACTAGAAAGACTGGAGAGCTACTATGATAACATAGCAGTGAGGGTTGATTGTTTTCAGTAAGGCAGACAGTCGATCTGACTGTTGGAGACGCAAACTTGTTTGTCAGAAAAAAGAGTGAAGAAAAACAAAACCAGGTGCTTCTAGGAATATGAGACAGCAGGTGAGAATTCACTGGCTCAAAGTTGAAAAAGAGTTTAGGAGCACAGGTGTGTTTAAAAGTTATTTCTTGCACTGAAAGCATATAAGTTTAGACCAAAAGATCTGAATTGCATACTGCCTTTATGGAAAGGTAATGTAATACATCTATTTTTTTAAGTGTAGACAAATAGCACAATAATAACTCTAACTACTAAAGGTAACAGGTGCAGCAGTAATATTATCCACAGTATTAAGAAAATAATAAATACTATACCTTTAGGTGACAGTGAGGTTTTAGATAAATTTAAATGCTTCAGTCCCTTTGGGAGTTTGGCAAATTGTATACTTAAAGAGGCCACACCTGAGAAGTGAAAAAGGCAATGGTTAGAAATTTCTGGTTCTCAGAATTCCATTTGTTTTATAATGTATTAAAAATGTATAAAGGAAGGGTGACACTGTCCAAAAAGAAATATACTCTTTATCTGACTTATGTAACTGTAACCCCTCTATACATCACCTTTATAATAACAATTAAAATTTTGAAAGAACAAAAGTATGAAAATTAAAGTTAACTTCAATTAAAGTAACCAGAGCTTATTTCCCAATCATTTACCACCATGCATTCTTCTCTTCTGTCCTACCTATTGGTAAGAAAGGGAAGACTATTTAATTACACGTAGCAATCTCTGAAACTTTACCATTCATTGTAGCAATTTTTCTTTGAGCCAAGTTTTACCGTCTTCTCATCATCCTATTTAAAATCCAAATCCTCTTGAGAAAGAGTGATATAATTGATTCTCTCCCCCTTTTTTGTAACCTCTGTCTTAATGAGTTGATCTCTTTTGGATATGCAGATGCATGCTATTTAATTATTGTCAAGAAGAATGGAATAATATTAACTATTCAGATAACAGCTTCACTTTTAGCAGATGGATTCCCATACTTAATTGTCTTGTAGTTAACAACCTCAGAGAGAGAACATCAGTGAATGTTTTCAACTTCTTAAAGGTAGGTTTTATAACTTACGGGAGCTCACCAAAAATTTATCACATTTAAAATTAGATATACTCTCGATTTAATGGCTGGTGTGGGAGACAGAGAATAGCAGCTCATTTATTCAAGAGCTTCAGTGAACACAGAGTGTTTTGTGGGGAGGAAGTAAGTAACGGATAAATCTGTGCCCTAGCCAGGGTGTTGAAGCAACTTCCACCTGCAGGTGAGCGATCACCTGCTTAGGGCCAAGTTATTGGAAAGGCTCCTTAAGCAGTAATAATTCCATATTCTAGGCAGCAATAAAAAGCTACTGTGCTTCCTGCTGCTCTATACAACCCTAAAAATCTTATCAAAACTTCTAAGAAATAATTACTGTAGAAATAACAAAAGGGTATTGGTTTGACTAAGCCTCAAATTGGGTGTTTCCAAAAGATGCTAAGTGTTTTGGTAAACCTTGCCTACCTCCCTAAAGTGTTCTATTGTCAAAGAAAAGTCACTTGATTAAATAGTATTAAACAGATTATAACTACATTTTAAATATTTTTATTCATGTTGTAGACTGCAGAGAGGCAGACGTTCTGATATTTTAGTTGATATACTCTTCAAAAAGAATGATGGGGGGGGGGTTTTGCCTTGCATGCATAAGGCCCTGGGTTTGATTCCTCAGCACTACATAAGCAGAAAAAGCTGGAAATGGTGCATGGCTCAAGTGGTAGAGCGCTAGCCTTGAGCTGTAAGAGCTGAGGGACAGTGCCTAGACCCAGAGTTCAGGCCCCACAATCAACCAAAAAAAAAAAAAAAGAATGAACGGGAAGTCAAACTATGTATGGTTCAAGTGGTAGCACACTAGCCTTGAGCACAGAGAGGCCTAAGTACAAGCCACAGGACCACGAAAAAAAAAAAAAAGAATGAATAGTAGAGGGAGCAGAAATAAGTACAAAATTTGATTAATAGAACAAAATAAAAAGGATAACAATAGGGAAAAACAAAAATATATTACCCAAGTTAATGCCATTAAATATAAATTCACTAAATATTCAAATGAAAAGTCAAAGTTCAACAAAATAAATACTAACAAGTGAGTATTAAAAGGGTACTTAGGGGTGAGATCAAGAGCAAAGGGGTAGATGAATGAAGAGGGAAGCAATGGAGAATATAGTCAAGAATTCAATGTATAGACTACAAAATTAAGAAGACTAAGGGAAGGAGTGAAGTGGGGAAGGATGGACTGTTGAAAAAATGACACTGATCAAGAAACACTGCATATGTAAACTACTTTATTAATTGCTAATTCATTTGTACAACTACCTAAAGCTAGTAAGAAATTTTAAGTCAAAGGTGGTTTATCTGAATAAAAATGTCAGAAGTTCTTAAGAGAAAAGCCTAGAAATATATATATTGAGGTGTGACCACAAAAGCATAAAAAAAAGTATATGCTACAACCATTAACTAAAAGAAAACAATTATAGTGGTAGTAAGAAAGATTTTAAGAAATACTATTAGAGAAAAACAGGACATTTTGATAGTGAAGAGGATACAACTATTCTGAATCTGCATGCTCTAATTAATGCAGAGCAAAAAATATACCAAGTAAATATGACAGTAACAAAAAGAAAATACATGAATATACACTATCATCACACACACACACACACACACACACACTAACTACAGAATACCTTGCTTCCTGCAAAGTGTACAGTGGCTATGTCCCAGAAATGACCCTATATTGAGCCACAAAGTAAGACTCAATATATAGGCTATGTCATACAGAAAATGTTCTTTAACTGTAATGTTTCATATTTTCTAATTCCTACCACTACTACAGAACTGAAACAAATTTATTTGGGGGGTTGGTCATGGGCCTAAGCGCTGCCCCTCAGCTCTTCAGCTAAAGGCTAGGGCTCTACCACTTGAGCCACAGCGCCACTTCCAGATTTTTTTTTTCTGCTTATGTGGTCCTGGGGAATCGAACCCAGGGCCTCATGCTTGCAAGGCAAGTATTCTACCACTGAGCCACCCTCCCAGCCCCTGAAACAGAAATTTTAACCAAAGTGCAATTATGAAAAGTGCCAATAGAGCCAGGCATTAATGGGTCACACCTGTAGTCCTAGCTACTCAGGCAGTTGAGAACTGAGGATCACAGTTCAAAGTCAGCCCAGGCAAGGAAGTCCGTGAGACTCTCCAATTAACCACCAGAAAACCAGAAGTGGCGCTGTGGCTCAAGTGGTAAGTGCTCCCCTTGAGCTGAAGAGCTCAGGAATAGCACCCAGGTCCAGAGTTCAAGTCCCACAACTGACCAAAAAAAAGTACCAATACCCAAAGGAATGAGCCAGACCAGAGGTTATGATTTCTACGTGGATAAGGGTAATGATGGTGATCACAGGGGAAAACCCCACAGGAAGCTTGTGTGGTATGGCTTGTTCTAGTTCTTGAGATTGATAGTAGTTGTATTCGCTTTGTAAAAATTCAAGAGGTAGACTTGATGCTATAATTAGGATTTTTTTATTGGTTGTAGAGCTTGAACTCTGGGCCTGAGCACTGTCCCTCAGCTCTTTAGCTCAAGGCTAGTGCTCTACCACTTGAGCCACAGCGCCACTTCCAGTTTTCTGATGGTTAATTGGAGATAAGAGTCTTACAGACTTTGCTGCCTGAGCTGGCTTTCGAACCACCATCCTCAGATCTCAGCCTCCTGAGCAGGTATGAGTCACCGGAGCCTGGCTATAATTAGGATCTTGAATGTCCCCCACAGACTTATGAAGACTTAGTCTGTAGGTAATCTTACTGGGCTGTAAGAAATGGAATGTCTTTGGGTCATTGGGGACAAGTCCTTGCAAGGTGTTGTGGGAGCTAGGTCTCTTTTTCTTTGTTCCCTAGCTAGCCATGTGAATGTCATTTTGCTCTGAGAGGAAGTCTTGCCTTGATGTGCTACCTCAAGACATAAAAAGGGCCAGTCAATCGTAGAAGGGAACCTCCAAAAGTGTGAGTCGAATCTAAGCTTTCTGCCTTATAACTTAATTATCTCAGGTACTTTGTTACAGTGATGGAAGCTACTGAACACACTTAGGACTTGAGGACTTTTTAAAAATGTACCTCCAAAATGTATTGCAAAATATTTAGATTGGAAGAGTCTAATCTAGATTCCCACTTTTAAATTTTGTTAGGAATAATCATTGCCCATTCCTGACCAATTATTTTTCCTTTATGGTTTTCACAGCAAAGCATATGCTACAACACTGACTAAAGCCCTATTTCAGATCTTCAAATTGCTGTAAAAACGTAAGACAAAATTTAGTCACCTCAAGTTCACATTGGTTGTGCTCATTCGATTTATTCTGCTTCATTCTTTTGAAAATGAACAATTTTTAACACCACATAAATGTGTACCTATATTCAAATCAAATGCCCTCATCACTCATCCTTTAATCATAAATATCTTCAAAAAAGAGGTAGGTGGACAAAGGGAATAGCTATCCAGCAATATTTTCTCAAAAAAAAGGAATATAAGCAGTAAATAGTAAAGTTCTTAAATTCTATTAAAGGTCTATTAAGTCAGGTTGAATATGATATTTTTAAAGCAGGTCTAATGGTAACATTAAATATGGAGAAGTGAAAGCAAAGATAAAACAATCTAATCTGGCTGAGATTTTTTTTTCCTTATCAAATTCAAGGTAAGTGATTAAAAACACAAGGTTAGTTTAGAACACATCTAATTAAAAAGATGATTTTAGTCTAGAAGTAATTTCTCTTGATGCTTTAAAAATAAAAACAGAATATATTATAGGCTTTGGTGATAAGAAGATGAAGCAGTGATAATACTTTAAAAATCCAAAAGAGATGGTATTTATTGATGGAATAATTTCTATTTCCTTGGCATCCACAAAACATAATTATATTTCTTCTTTAAAGGAATCCCTTTACTACATGCTAATGGAATAAAAGGTGTAATTAGGCTTAGTAGCATCCATTTTAAATAATATACCAGGCTGAAAGTGTAGCTCAGTGGTAGAGCATATTTTTCTAGTATGCCAGGTTTTAAGCACAATCCTCAGGGCTCATATGCATTCAGTTTTCCATACATTCTCAATTTAGAGATGCAATTCACTACAGAGGGATTAAAAAAAAAAAACCTCTAAAAACAGTCAGGTCAAAATGCAAATTAAGGTACAAGACCTGCGGAAAATTTCCCCATGTCCGTAAATGTCTATGCATTAATTGATGAGAATAATGGCACCCAAGACAAATTGCTGAGATAACGTGCAAGAAAGCACACACTGCCTGGCCCACATGAACTGCTTGGTGAATGCTAGCTTTCATGATAAAAACAACAGGCAAGCAGGGCTCCAGTGGCTCACACCTGTAATCCTA